AAACCCACCCATCTCCACCCCTAAACCTACCATCTCCACCCCCTAGATGTGGATCCAACCCCGCCCCCTGGATCTTTGTTCTGCAGTGAGGGGCTACTGGGAAAAGACGCGAGATCTGCACACGAAAGCCAGTGACGATACACGGGCTCGTGCGCGACATGGAGGCGTGGCCAGTAACCGTATTTTTTGGCGGACGGACAAACCAGCTGCAAATGCAAGAGCTCAGGAGGAGTGCCTTTCAATGCGCGCTGAAATCTTTTGAATTTGTAAACATTCCGCGACCCTCGTAAGCCTAATGCGCCGCGGGTTCAGCATGGCGCTCATCTGCACAAACACACCAGATCATCACCTGCCCAGCTAACCGGCCTGCTAACACACTCGGATGGATGAACAGTAACTGGCAAGCTTGCATTTATCTTTTTTGACTGACTCTGTGTGCCTTAAAAAACAAAGCGATGCTATTCATTTACCGCTAGCACTGCTTGCTTGTGAGCTGTCAATTACATTGTTACTTTACAAAACCTTGCCTGCGCATACTATTGTTTATTTACATTTCTGACAGCGCTGCTAAAGAATTACATAAAGAAATACAGCTTTTGTTATCAAATCCCTTTAGGAATAAGCAGTAGGTACCTTCTGAACTCCTCACAGCAGCACAAAATGAACGGAAAAGTCCTACCAGACACTCCTATAGCTGTAGACTGTTGGCAGCTCCGCAAGTGCCATCACGTCCGTCTGTTCTTCTTGTCTCACATGCACTCGGATCACACCTCTGGCCTCTCATCCACCTGGAGTCACAGGCCCATATACTGCTCACCTCTCACTGCCAAACTGCTCCAGCTCAAACTTAAGGTGAGGTCGAGCAGATGATTTTAAGGGGGTCTGCACAAGGTTTTAGGGGGTCTGGGAAAAATTAGAAAGAAATAAAGAATTTTATATATGTGCTATTACAGTGTTTATTGATATTTAGAGTTAGGTTATATTGTTATCAGTTACAATTTTAGTTTATGTTTTAGTCATTTTGTTATATGCTTTAATCAGTTTGGTTTAAATATTTCTATATAGATTTATTTTTTTTTTGGTTTCAGTAGTTTTAGTACTTGAACCTATTTATTTCAGTTAATTACCATATCAACATTTCTAGTTTTTTTTTTCTTTCTCACCTAATATTTATATTTTTTAATATTTTTAGTTAACAATAACAACACTTATATATCATAGTCAACTATTAAAAAAATTTATTTGGAATGATATTTATAGTGAACAGAGCTTTACAAAAACATTTGAATCTAAATAAATAATAGTGGGTCAAAAAAGTATAGACTCGGTAGTCAATATAGTAAGCGTATGCTTTTGCTTAAGTACAGTAACCATATAAAAGCCTGTTTTATTTAAAATAATAAAATTAATAAAAATAAAACACTTTTTCTCACTCAGTATAAATTGGTCTTTACAACTTTAAAATATTAACTGAAAACATTTAGCTACGTTTATGTTTTAGGAATGGGTCCCACGTAAAAGTTTGAATTCATAAATGCACACATCTGTCCGCTAAATGACTCAAACTTGGAGGAATTACAAATTGTGTCCTGTTGTTGTGTTCCACAGGTCAAGGAGAAATGGATTCGTCCATTGGAGACTGGGGAAGCTCACATGCTGTTGCTTGATGATCTTGGAAAAGAACGACTGACCGTTACTCTAATAGATGCCAATCACTGTCCTGGGGCAGTTATGTTTCTCTTTGAGGGATACTTTGGCACCAGACTGTACACTGGTAAGTTTGGGAGGAGGAAATGAATATTATGGAAATGTGCAATAATCTAATAGTTTTTCTTGAGACAGAACGTTGTTGGATCTCACTGTCACATACTGAGATTATATTTTAATGATACTGTTATTGTGTTTTATCTCAGGTGATTTCCGTTATACTCCATCTATGCTTCGAGAGCAATGTCTGAGGAACACCACTACCATTGATGTGCTGTATCTGGACAACACAAACTGTGACCCCACTCGAGCCGTACCTTCTCGTCAACAAGCCACTCAGCAAATTAAAGAGATCATTAGGACTCATCCTGGATACGCTGTGGTTATTGGTGAGGCTCTCACACTTTCAACATTTTATTAAAATTTCATGTAATAGGATTTAATGTGTTTTATGTTC